CATGTAACGACCTCACCTTTTCCCCCCACACATCCCACCCCAGGGGAGGACATCCATCACACAGTAATCTCGTGCGTGGGAAATTAACGTCTCCTACCCCTAACCCTGCAGGAGACGGGACCTCCATTTATTCGTCCTTATCCGAGAAGACTAGAATATCTAACCGTTTCTTGATATTATAGAAAGGCAGCATATTCTTCTCAATTATTTTAAGACCTTGAGTGTTGGTCTGGCCGGGGCTCAAACCCTGGACCTCCCGCACAATAGCACAGCGCTCTATCCATTGAGCTAACCGGGAGGCAGTGTAACCAGATAGTGCTAACCCAGATAGTGCTAACCTAACCCTATGTAACCTCTGAAGATCTTCAAAACCATACTTGCATTGGAGGGCCACTCAGAGTGATTGGCTACATAGTTTCACGCTGTGTAATCACTCACTTCAACTGAAGAAACCAGTGAGCAATTCAGCCTGAATCATTTTGGATAGAGACCAAATACAATCCAGTCAGTTTCTTCTTCATTTTGTCCACCCAATGTGAAATGAACATTTTTGCTTCTTCACTCCTACTAGTCAATGGGCATGTTTCCATGAAAGCATGTGTGAACATGGTTGCATTGTTTACAATTTGTACATGTGCACCAGAAATATGTTATAAGAGTATTATCATGGTTTATCACTTTGACAGGTATAATATGAACCAACATAATGACCAGCTCCCAGTTGACTTGTTAGCTCAGTTGGTAGAGCAGTGCATCAATGTTGCAGAGGTCATGGGTTCAAATCTGATGTGGGCCTGAATTTTTTTCAGGCCTTACTTCCACTACTACATAAGTAGGGTTCATTATTAATACAAGGATTGCTTTCATACATTTCATGAAACTGCAATGCACATATATGATTTTCATATATTCAAATGCATTATTAGAGGCATGTCTGCATGCTTGCAAACAGTAGCATTGGCTGACAAATGTTAGTGGGTTAGAAGTCTCCAAAGTTATGAAAACCCAAGATACTGTAAAAACCTGCAGATAAGCTGCACCTTTTTTCCAAAAATTGTCACTAGAAATTGGGGGTGCAGCTTATCTGCGGGAACATTTGAAAAAGGCATTGGGAATGTTTTTCATTTTCACATCTGTTCTAAGGCCTGGTTACTACGCTTCAATTGTTCCGCTCACATTATTGTTGTAATGCAAAAATCTATGGAAAAACTGTGTTGAATGAAGAAAATCCTGTCAATAAATACCAGAAAAAGATCAATCATACATCAAAGTTGGTAGAAATGATGTTCCTTATATTAAAGTGCTAAAATTGTGGGTAAGAGTTTGAAGTTTTTTCTGTTGCAATGTTAATAGTGAGTTTATGTTTGATGAACAGTGGATGAAGAAGACTTCTCAAGACTCGACTTCGGATTTCTTTTGATTTCTTTCAAAAAATTTTATTTCAAAATTTGAGCTGCTAAATTCAGGGTGCAGCTTATCTGCGGGTGTGGCTTATCTGCAGGGGCGGCTTATCTGCAGGTGCAGCTTACCTGCAGGTGCGGCTTATCTGTGGGTGTGACTTGTCTGCGGGTTTGTATGGTACATTCTCATTTTAATGATTGTTAACCTTTTAAACCCTAACCGTGACTGGCTTCTAATTTCTCCATACATTATCACCATTGGATCAAATATAGAGGTGATGAGAATAAAGGTAATAATCACCAATGATTGACTATACAAATTCTCCCCGTCAGCTCCAGAGGCAATTTAGACAGAACAGTGTAGAGGATATGGATATTAACATGGTGTACAAGGTTAAAAGCCCTGAAAACAAAATCTAGTTTTTTTACAACTGAAAAGTGAAAGTACAAAATATTTATTTATTGAAATGACCTCTGCTTTCTCCTACAGTACCTTGATTGACACCATCGACATAAAGCTGGGAGAACACAATGATGTGATGGGCATGGCAAGCACCATTGGTGATCCAATATTTCTGTGCCAGTGCATTTGGTGTATTGACAATAAACTCCTTAGTCTCCTTGTCATAGGTGGCTGTTGTTTCCATCTGTACTGCATTGTTTCCGTATCCAAGTTCTGTCAGACCAAAACAGCCCACAGCCTCCAGTGAATCAATACCCTTGGTTTAATGGGAAAATAAAAAGGGAGACAGATCTTGCAGTCAGTCAGAAGGTCAAATGAAACCTTTTCACCGATAACTTTTTCAATATAAACTTCCCATTTTCCAGAAACTTATAATTATTAGTGGATATGGACCAGAGATATATAACAAATGCTACAATCTGATTGGCTGCACTACTCAGTCTTTTCCCTGATAAAGAATGGGTAACTGAGTAGCCCTTAAAGTGTGAAATTGCAAACAAATGAACCCTTTAGGGGGATTTCTCAGTATTGCATTGCACATCTTGCACTGTGCATAACAATAAGGTAATCAGATAAATAAGCATGCACACACTCCAAGAACACAGTGTCATTTTTTCAATCAGTAGACCAGGTAGAGGTACAATGGTCTTTAGCTCTTTAACAAGCATGGTGACTTATATTTATTTATTGCATCATTTTGGTGTAAAAGTTATCCCCTTTAAATTGGAGAAATTAAAAAAAAAAATTTATTAAAGGAAAAAAAAGATATAGCTACAAGTTTGCATGAAGGCCATTATTCAATGAAGCAAATTATGATCTCGATTCAAGCAAGGACACAAGGAACATTTTAAGTCAACATGGTTTAAAATTACATGATTTTTCCCCAAATTATCAAATAAAGGGAGTTACCATAATTTCCGGCTGTTTACCCGCAGATAATCTGTTAATTTTGCATTAAACAGCATCACTGCGGGTAATAGGGAGGTGAGTATACAATAATCGGCTGGTGCAGGTAATCGGCCGTGCGGGTTAACGGCCGGAAATTACATATAATTTACGTAATTACCTATAATTTTCCCTGATAAAGAATATGACGAGGCGCTAGCGTGCACTGGGCTTATCTCGCTGCATGAGCGGTGCGAGAATATTGCCAACAAGCTCTTTTCTAACACTCTTGTACCAGGTCACAAGCTGCATAAGCTCCTGCCGCCCAGAAATGTATCTAGAGTGGACTTAAGGAAAAAGCGCGCTTTCAATTTACCTGTGGTACACATGAACAGGTGCCGTGATAGTTTCATCTTTCATCATTCATGCACGCATTGTAGAAGCTGACCCTATTGCATGTTACCTAATTTTTAATATTTTAAAAGTATGTATGATGTACAATCCTCGCAGTAGAGAGCACTATTTATGCAAAAGCGAAAATCAGACCTGAAAAAAATCAGGCCTGTACGGGATTCGAACCACTGACTTCTGCAATACTAGCATAGCGCTCTACCGATTGAGCTACCAAGCCAACTGGGAGCAGGCTGTTAAGCTGATTTGTAATAAACCCGTGATGATAAATCAGATACAATGAGCCCTGCACTAGTATTGCAGAGGTCAGTGGTTCAAATCCCGTACAGGCCTGATTTTTTTCAGGTCTGATTTTTGCTTTTGCATAAATAGCACTCTCTACTGTGAGGTTTGCGCATCATATGTATCTAATTCCGCAGTTCAAAGTATATAAACTTCATATATTCATTGTATTTTAAAAGTATGTTACCATTTCTTATATATTTCTTAATATTGTAAATGAATGCGTAATTCAACCCTTGGTTGCAATGTTTTTCAAATAAACTATCTATCTATCTATCTATGTTGAATACATATCTACACATTACTCACACCTGAGAGTTAAAGGATTACATTAATTACGAAAAAACATTCTACCATGTTGTAAAGATTTGAACCAGTAGATTTTTACAAAAACAATGAGATTATTTGCTAAAAATTTCCTTGCAAACTGCTTTTGAAACTACAACTTTGTTTTGGAATAGTATGGGTTATACAGAAAGCTTTCCCTCGTTTTAAGTGAGTACACGGTCACGTTCATCAGTGAGACAAATAGATATTGATATAATTTAGAAAGAATTTTTGGAAATTCAAAGGAAACAGTGCTGTCATACACAATGAATATATGAAATTAATACATCTGAACTGCGGTTATAGAAACGTACTTGTGCACATTCCTTGCAGAAAAGAGCACTATTTATTAAAGCAATAGTGAAAATCAGACCCAGGTGAAAAAATTCAGGCCTGTATGGGATTTGAACCACTGACCTCTGGGATACCAGTGCAGCGCTCTACCAACTAAGCTAACAAGCCAGCTGGGAACAGGTCATCAAATTAGTCCAACATAAACCCGTAAGATGATAAATCAAACACAACGAATATATGAATTGAGGATTATGGTTTTTAATCAAAGTGGCATCAAATCAACTAATTGCGTCACATAACTCTTAAAATAACATGTAGTGAATGACGCCCTTGTCACGGAGAGCCGAGCAAGGACAATGACTTATTTTTCTATGGATGGCAAGACTTGGTGGGTTTGGAAATTAGCTCAACGTTGTTTGGATTTTAGGTATCTTTTCATTATCATGCTTGATGAAGTGTTAAGTGTCTTAACAAGAACAAGTCCTCAATCGTTTTATCTTCTCGAAAGAGCTAACGAAAGTTAATTCATAAATGTAACTGTTTTGAATAAATTAAAAACTTCTTAGTGGATTTCATCCAATTTCTTTTCAAGCTTTGAGTTCAACTCAAAACAATTGAGTATCTTGCCGTTTTATCTTATTCAAGATTTTGAAAGGTGGGAAAATTCCACTGATCGTCAATTCTACGATCTTTACCCATTTTTTTCGTGGTAAAACTCTCGACAACACTTTTTCTTCCGAATATGAATTTGATATTCGTAGTAATGAATACTACTTCAGTAGTAGTGAAAATAAAGCCTGAAAAAAAAAGGCTTTTACGTTTTTGCGAACCCATGACCGCAGTAATACGGTTCCGGGAGTTCATGCTTCGTCTGGCCAGCGTAGATCTTTACCTTCCTCAAGGGCCATTGAAAAAGAAAATCATTTGACCGTTTCTTTCATTGACATAGCTTTCCTTAAATAACATAGAGTCTTCGGAATCCAGCCAAGTGGTTTTTGAATACTTTTACTGTGTTGCGTCGCCTCTTACACAGTTCAGACTCGTATGCAAATTTTGTTTGTCCGACGTGCTTCAGTTCCCCTTTTCTCTTCAGGAATCCCAGCCTGCAACCTCTACTATTTGTTGAATACAAATGGCTGAAGGTTGCGTCTGTAAAATAGAGCGGCAGTTCAGAGCTAGAGACTAGTTGTAAAAAGCATTGTGTTCTCTTTAAACGTTGAAGGAGTCCAGTTCAGCTACAGGTTCTAGAACCGACTAAATATGAATCTAAGGTAACTAGGAAAAACCAAATACAGTGGCATGTGTTGGACTCCTGTTTTCTCATCGCTCACATCGACGCCGTTTTTACACTGTTGTACATTTCGAGGCCGAAATCTTCTTCAGTTGTTTTACTCCAAATTTACTGCCCCAAAGCACCTCTTGACTCGTATGCAAATTTTGTTTACAAGTCGTGCTTCAGTTGCGCTTTTACCCTCAGGATTTTTTGAAAAGAACATGAAGTCAGCAATTTTGTCGCCGATTGTAGAAAAAAAGAATAAAAAAAACGGCTGAAAAAAAGGTTATCGAAACTATTCATTGATATGTTCAGCTTGTGGAGCAGGCGTCTTTTTAAGGATACCGAGTGTGTATTACGTGCTTGTGTGCAATAACCCCAAACAACATCGGACGTTTGACCTTGGTTAGATTTTGGAAAGAATCCAACGTAAACAACAGCTCCATTCTCAGCTGCAACTTCAGAGAATTGTCACATTTGCGATTATTTCAACGAATTACCAAATCTTTACTTCTCTGAGAAAGTTATCAAATCTGTATCTCATCTTACAAAGTTATCGAATTCATGCTTTTCTGAGAAATTCTTGATGTAATGAAACGTTCGTGATATTCTGTCTTTACAGAACAAAGAACTTGGTTGTATCGTTTGCATGACGGGCTGTCATTTCAAAAAGGAACCAATCAAAGCCATCAAGTTTGTGGCTTACTGGAGGGTCTCAATGGAGGAGGGGGAGGGGGTCACGTTGACGGTTGACGGTTAAAAAATAAGCCCTTTTGACGGTTGACGGTTAATTTTTTGGAACGTCGTTTATAAAACGAACTAAACGCGCGAATTTTGGCCGTCACTTTTCATAACGAAGCGTTTGTAAAGAGCTGTTGATTTATGACACCTTCTTTTAATGAATCAAAACTTTAATTTATAAACTACAGAACTTGATCCTAATTGGGGAAATCGTTTAGTTCTTAATCAAGGACATCTGAGACATTTGACAGCTAACGTTGGCTTGCTTAGTTGATTGTTGACGGTAAAAATATTGCGTTTTGACTGTTGACGGTT